CGCTGATATAATCGACGAGCGTTTTGCGTTGTGTACCCATTACTGAATTAGATGTCCCCACTGAACGAAAGAAGATGTCCGCTACATTATCCTCAGATACTTTAATTATTCGGACTTTTAAAAATTGGGGCATTTGTATCCAATTATCCCTAGCTTTAAAGATTTTCACCTTTTCCCATGATCATTAATTTATTAAAGTCCAAAAAGCCTTAGACGCCATAATGAAGAAACGAGCCTTTGCAGCATTAGGACCAAATCCAAGACAAACTAAAGTAAAATGCAAAATGCAAAATGCAAAATGCGAAATGCGTCTAGGCGTGACTAAGAATGCCAGACGTAATCATGCATGCAGAGCTGCCACTAGGGAGACTTCCACTTAAGGTAATTCTCTTGTAAGAAACTTTGCCAATAACTTTGTCCCGAAACTTTGCATGGTCATTAACTATGTTATGGACATTTAAAAACTGCGATAAAAAGATGGATCACCATTCTCGTTTTTGATTTATCTTGGAAAAACAACTCAAAATAGTCGAAAGACTGACACTTTTCCGCCGAGTGGAAACTAGGGCGAGTTAGATAAAATTCGTAATTTCTCTACTCAAACAAGAGAAAAAAGTGAAAATTGGTTTTGAACATGTATCTCTTTTTGTTACCGAAAGAAAATTGCCTGAACTTTATTAGTTCCATGCTTTTAGTTGCATGCGCAGAAAAATGCGCAGTGCAAAATAAGGGAAAGTACCTATCAGGAGTTTTAAATTTGCTCAAAATCAAAGATTCGGATTTAGAACATAAAAAGCTTTCAACACAAGCCGAGTATACGAAGACATAGAGAATGAAACAAAGAAAGTCTTTTGGAGTTATAATGTAAAAGGTACCTTAGAACATCTCGGTTTAGCAATAATATGGATGAACCAAAACGAGCTCTCACCGAAATTGAAACAATATAGAAAACTAATGCATCAGAGAATAAATGATATTGCGACCCAAAATTTAACATAAATCGATCTTAATACCATGAACACTGATGACTGCTTCCTATTTCTTGGTCAACCCCCAAAGAGTGTTGTACAAAAAACTGTGTCATCGTACATTTATCAAAGATAAAAATATTTTGCAAAAGAAACATATTTGCTGAATATATCGGCAATACACAAGGTTAACTTATAAATAATTTAACTTATGGCCCTCTAAATATAAGATCATTTCGATTACAAGGAAATATATAAACCAGAGAATATTGAAAAGAACACAAATACAATCTAATGCTCATCGAGTGACGAGTACGGCGAATAGACCTTTTGGGACGGTGGAACGACAAGCTAGATGCAGATATCATAATGTTGAATAAAGTGTTTCTTTGGAATGGGTGGTGCTGGTCTTGTAGATCAATTGACTGGAGAACTGACTTGTGGTAGAATTTAACTTATTTTTGTAGATGAATCACGATTATGCCGCGAACACTTGTAACCCGGATCAACATATACGTTTGTCGAAGCGTCCTGAGCGCACCACTTTGTTAATACTGCTCGTGCGTTTAGTAAATATCTACGGCATTTCGTTTGTGTTCTGTTGAAGCGTTCAAGCCTGAGAGGTTTCGTTCATAGGGAACGAACCCACAGCCACTCGTAGAAACAGTGTTCAAAATAAAATATCTCATGCGTTTAATTGTTGCTGTGTCAAGCGTTTTTTAAATCAAACTGCCTTTGGCAAACTCGTGGATACTACCCTTTGCCCCCATGTTTCTGTGCATTTTGTTGACCTACCTTCGTAATTAGGCACATCAAAGCAATTCGCTCAATTTTAATGCTCAGATTAAACTTGTAAGATAGAATATCGACTTTATATTTTGCTTCCTATTTGTGCTTTGTTTTGTTCTTGGTTATTYTATTGAGTTTTGAAGCGAATCATGTAATAAATTAAAGTTGAAGCATAATAGATTTTATTTCAGATACTGTTTCCACGAGTGGCTGTGGGCTCCCTTGTGTATTACCGATATATTCAGCAAATATGTATATTTTGCTATATATTCTCATCTTTGAAAATAATTGTACTGCACTGTAGTACTGAAAACCAGAACAATACACAAACTAAACTTCATGCATATGCTTTTACCATAAGGCTTTGTCGTGTGCGAGCGAGAGCAATAACATATTCAACAAAGAATACCGTATACCACCCGAAAAAAATTGCCACCGTTTGATTCATGCGGACGGAGTTTGAAAAAGGCAATTGTCTTTAACAAAATATTACAAAATTGTGCAGTAAGGCAGGCAACATAGGGCCTAAGTCTCCCAAATGTCCCAACTATATGTCCTTCGATGTGGCAGTGAATCCGGAATAAAATAAAAGAACGTGTTAAATTAATTCTAAAGTAATACAAAAATAGCTGTGTTTTCACTTGAACCATTTAGATCACGCTTTCAAGCCTTGAGCTTATGATATCATGTTCAACAAAAATTACCATATTCCGCAGGAAAGAAAGTATCACCTTAGTTTTCTTTTAGGGTGAAAGGAGTTTGAAAAAAAACGATAAAGAAAAAAAGTATATTCATATAACACAACATTTCAAAAATGATCATCAACTGAAACATAGACGTTATTAATTGAATCTTTAACAGGTTCGAGTGTATCTATGTCGCTTTACTGCACAGGTGGTCCAAGCCCAGAGTTAGCGAAGATCGTCAGGTTTACTGAATTTATGATGATATGATGTTTACAATCTTTAGTCTTACCAATCAATAAGCTTTTCAAGCCTTGATTTTATAATGTCATGTTTTGCTCAAGATCTTCGAACAAATGGATTTCTGCAGCAAACAAATCGTACTGGTATAAGGATTTTGAATTCCTTTTCTGTTTCTATCTCAGCTCAAGTTATTTCTCTCCATTTCGTGATGTTATCGATGGCATTCTTGAGTTTCTTTCTACATGCATCGCATCCTAGCAACTTAATTAAAGATTTTTGCTTTCGAAGGAACAAAATTGCTAGAATTTATAAATTTTGTATCTATCTAATTCTAAGCTTTTAAAATTTAGAATAGAATCAAAAAAAAAAAGCATACGACCACTGTTTACAATAAGAGAGCAGCCGATTTGTATGGGCATTTACGTCGGGCGTGACAGTGGCAAGACCCGTTATGCAAATGAATGTACATAAATACAGTAACATCTGGCGTGTCTCATCCATTCCAAATCTGCAGCTTGAACCATTCAGCCACTAAAAGGGATTCAACACTTGAGACAGATTCATCAGACAGTAAAGGTAAGTTACCACGTTTTTTCTTTTTAATTCATCATTGTTTTAAAAACTTTTAAGCCTTGAGTTTCCAAGTGTTGATTAAATTTATCTTCTTTAGCCATCTTTAGATTGTTGCAGTAAAGGAGCTTCAAGAATGTCTAACAAAGTTGTATTGATGATGGCGTTTTGCATGGCCTTGATTGTCTTGGCAAACGGTGCAGGTAACATTGAATTTTCCTATATGAATTATTATGTTTTTTCGTCTCACCAACCTTCGAAAGCCTTGGTTTAGTGGTAGATTGAGTTAGCTCACTTACCGACTGGCCTTGAATGAATGAATCAAACCCTAGTCGCAAACCAGAGATGATAGGCGAATGGACTACACGTGCAACTTCAGGATTTCCTTCCAAATTTATGTTTACCTCCAGTGCTTCAGGGATTTTCCTAGACGAGAAACTACTTTTGAACATCTTTTAACCATTTTTGTCTCCAATGTATTAGCTTTCAGAGGTAGTTTGTAAATTCGAGTAAAAATAAAGCATGTTTGTATGTATCAGGTTATACCTTGACTTTAAATTGATTCACTGCCAAATCATATTTTACAGTAGAGAGTTTTAGATTGATTTTTTTTCTCCCCGCAAACGGCAAACATGACCACGTTTTCATAGTTTTCCTTTATATTACTTTACTATTTACAAGCCTTCTCACCAAGCGCAAATACTCTTTTGTTTTTCTACTACTTGGACTTTTTTGCGATTCTTTTTCAGTAATTTATAAAAAAATTTTTACTGGTCAACTGACGTTTCACGTTTGCCGTGAACGTAAATCTAAAACTCTCTAGTATTAACTCTCCTCCACATCATATTATACAGCATTGACTCTCCTCCACATCATATTTTACAGTATTGACTCTCCTCCACATCATATTTTACAGTATTAACTCTCCTCCACATCGTACTTTACAGCATTGCAAGAAGAAAAGCGTGCACTCAGCTGCTATTGTGGGGGAATTGACCGCCCACCATATGGAGACCATTGGGTCTTCCGAGGCACTTGTCCAAGTGGTTATGGATATACTCGTTCATGTCAAAATGGCCTGAACGTGTGCTGCTTCCCTAGATCAGGCTGAGAATATATCGAGGCTTATTTAAAGGTTAAATCAAATAGTATAAGAAATCAGTTTAACCTGACAGCTTGTAACCTCTCAAAAGGAAAAAAATAAATTATGATGAAACAGATAACTACATACAATGTGATGTCATTGGTTATCATGGTATCATGCACCACTTTGTCATTACTGCTCGCGCGCATTGAAATATCTACGGCATTTCTTTTGCGTTCTGTTAAAGCGTTCAAGCCTTAGAGGTTTCGTTCATAGGGAACCCACAGCCACTCGTAGAAACAGTGTTCAAAATAGAACATGCCATGCGTTTATTTAATGCCTTTGCCAAGCGTTTTTTTAAAATCAAGCTGCCTTTGGCGAACTCATGGACACTACCCTTTGCCCCATGTTTCTGTGTATTTTGTTGACCTACCTTCGCAATATACTCCATTTTACAGTACCGTTCAGTGACCACGAATAATAGTTCCTAGCCGAGGCTGGAGTTTCCGCGCATAGCAAAACTAAAGTTTATCGTGCGCCGTAACTCCAGCCTCGGCTAGGAACTATTATTCGTGGTCACTGAATGGAAATGTTAAAATGGAGTATTAGACACATCAAAGCAAAATAAATTATATCATGCGTTTAATTATTGCTGTGTCAAGCGTTTTTTAAATCAAACTGCCTTTGGCAAACTCGTGGATACTACCCTTTGCCCCCATGTTTCTGTGCATTTTGTTGACCTAC